CGAGCACGAGAACTTTCCATCTTCGAAAATTGTGAAGCTTCTTTTTGCTTTGGATAGACATTTTCTTGTATTATTCTAATCAAAATTTGCTTTATTTTCTGTCTAAAGTACAAAGAAAACATGTTTTTTGGTTAGTTATTGGTAAGCACACCGGTTTCACTTTGGAGCTGAATAATTGACTAAAATTTTGTTTTTGCAAATACGGACGTTAGTTAAATCAAAGAAATATGCGAATATTCAAATCGCAAACGGTTTTTAAATAGCTTTATGTTGGTTTATAAGTCATTATATTTCATAGTTTTGTGCTCTCATGCCGAAACTGAAGAAATGTTATTATATTTTCGTTCAAATATTTGAAAAGTATTGTGATGCGGTCGTGCCTTGCGCATGACTGGTGTTAACTAGCCAAAACTAGCCTAAACTTCCCTTTTGTCCAAGAACAATGCAAATCATGAATGAGTTTAAGCGAATAAATCAAAAGATGTACAGAGCTGAGACAGAAAAGTATACAAAACGGATGAAATAAGTCGAAATATGAAGAGAGAAAAATATTTTGTTTTTCCCCCCTGGCATTCACTTGGATTGTGCATATTTTCCAGTTAAAAAATAAATTTAAAAAATCTTATCATAAGCAGCTAAGTAGGGATTGAATTGCGATTTCTCAGGCAAACTGATTTAATGTGCAATATGTTTTATATATAATTAGTGAGTAGATAAGAATTGTCTTAATTGAAATATTAAGTGTTGCTAACTGCATTAATGCAGGTGATCCATTATTAAATTATGCATGAGTGCAAGTTTAAAAACGAGAAAGTTTGAAAAGAAAAAACGTCAAAACCACATTTTGTGTGTTTAAGAATTGGCTAAGTAATAAAAATCAATTAAACAACGAATGTATTCAAAATATTTTCTGGTTACGTTAGATTGTTTTCCTTTATACTAACTTCTAGCCGAAGCGATAATGATAAGTATATGAAAGCTTTAATATTAAGAAAACGCCATCATAATACGAGTAGCATATAAATAACCTTGATAGGCATCCTCTTTCCTTTTTTGTGCTGTTTTAAGATAATCTTTCTTTAATTCTCTACTTTATTACTTTTTGACAATTGAACTAGAAAAAATTAAGTCATAAGCTAGTTAACAGACTTTCATTAAGTCCACTTTTTTTATTAAAATAAATAAAAATTTGGTAAAATGAGATTAGGCCATACCATCCCACAAGTTCAGTACATGAAACTAAGTTTTTCCACCTACTTTTAACGAATATACAAATTTATACGATAGATGGGTCAAAAACAGCGATTGTGTGTTTTGCTTGGTACTCTGCAAAATCGGATGACAGACACATCCAAGAAAGGCTCATACTTGGAGCTTTTAATTCATTTTTCTTCAGTTAAGCGATCACGAATTTCTCCTAAAAGTCAACACAAAGAACAAAAAATAAAGAAATAAATTTTAAAAAGAAATAAAAATAAAAACACATAAAATAAGATAGATCATTAAATTTATTACAAAACAAAGAGTTTGCAGGCTTATAATATTTTTTCGAATTGCAGAAGAAGCTCACTCCTGTTCCTAATTAATTTTATTGTATTAACGAATCAAAATGCTGTGTTTGATTCCTCAGGGATCTCCGTTTTCAGTCGCATTGCCAATTTACTGATAGTAAATTTCCAGTATATAACATGCCTTTAATAACGCCGACTTTGGCTCCAGTGGCCTAAGCCCATGAGGCGTCTAGTCGTAGATATTGTATCATACTTCACTTGAATATGAGATCCAGAGCCTTCGTTGTTGTAGAAACAGCTCAAATCAGAATTTTGCTACCACCACGAAAGCATAAAAAATAAATAATACACATTTATATTTTCATATATGCATGTAATTTAATATTTATTCATATTCGAACATATTTTCTAGGTACAATTTAAACACAGTTCCAGCGGCGAAATTTGCACAGTAAAGCTAAGTAACACAGGGTTTTACTTAGCTGACTAGTTTAATTGAGGGATGGTAGCCGAGTTCATCGGCTGTGAAAACAAGTTCGAATTTCTTGCCATCTGGTGCCGTCCAAGAAGTAGAACCATGCACAACTATGGCCGCATTATCGTCGATGGTCTTAAGTTCGCCTTCTTCGGTGCGTGAAATACCGTTGCTGGTATCGTAGCTGAAATGTGCAAGTAAAACCCCAAATACAATAGCCTTCCTCTACATATTTAAGGTAAACTTACGCAAAGGAGTATTTATCGACGCCATTATTCTCGGCTTCCAAACGCAGTGTTTCTGCCTTCTCGTCAGCTTCATCGGGACGTGGCGCTGCCAAGCAGGCAGCGGCAAAGCAAGCAATTAACAAAACTACTTGATATTTCATTTTGATATAAAATTAAGTGATTCTTTGTAATTCCTGTAAAAGCCGAAAATATCGAATTAATCCTTAGTAATTGGTAGGTTGCACTGTGTAAGCACTCGCTGTACTGATATTGCACAAATCCACGCTGAGCTTTTTATACCAAATGGAAAGCTGAAGAAGAAGATGCGCTACACTTATTTTACGACGATTATTTCATTTTTATTATTATTATTTTTTTTTTTTAATTTTTGTGGTACACTCACCAATCGTAGGTAGTGTAAAAAGTGAAACAAACATATTTAAAATGTCCTCATCACAAAAAAATCCACTTGTACACACACACATATGCCTTTGTATGTATACATGTGTACAGCCACATCTTTGTTGAGCCGATGGACAGGCCGGTCGTTAATTCACAAAGCGGAACTTTGCGCCGCCACTCCTGCCTCACCATGTACCAATTGTCACTCTTTTAATTACACATTAACACACAATTTTTTCTTTTTTCAATATTTTCTACGTTTGTGGCCACATTGAGTTATTTGTTTGAATCACTTTTTCAAAAACATTTTTTGATTTTTATTTTCAAAAGATCTATGCATCATGTGTGTATTTTCCCCGTGCTTTAGGTGAAGTATTTCTACACTTGACTTGCACTTCGGCGTTAGCGTCTCCGAAATTTCTTTGTCCGGCTTCTGTTCAACATAGCCATGTCAAAAATTAATTAATGCTTTATTAAAGCATTTGTTCATAATACAATACCATATATTAATTAGCATTTTAGCGCAAAAATGATATTGATAGATGATGATGCCAGCAATTAGAAGATCGGCGAGCGAAACAAGAACAAACACAATACAAATATTCACACATACTTACATATGTATGCTAAAATTCAAAAATGTTGCGTTCAGTTTTTATATATTTGGTCCGGACGAAATATTCTTTTTTTGGCATGACACTCTAATAAATTTATAGAAATGGTCAAGATGAGTAGACCGGAATTTCTTTTTTGGTTTGAATTAATACAATTGATTGAAATAATAACATATACCGTAAATAAGAGAATTTATATAATGACAGCAATGCGTTACTCATCAGTGCTTTCGGTGCATCACAGTACGCGTTTTGAGAGCGGTATCATCGACAGAAATTTTTTCTATTCAAACTACAATATACATAGCTGGTGAAATTATTGCCACATTTTATAGCTATGAAAGTTGAAATATCCAAATCGACCGGGAATTAACGAAAGGAAGCAAGGAAGTCAAATATACATATATACACAAACTAAAACCAGATTGAACAAATAAACGACAATTGATTTAGGACACAAAATTAGCCATTATGAAAGTATATTTCCAAATTTAAGATGAGTTTTTCTATTTTTCTTAGAATAAATTTTTAGACCTTCCTGATGTTCAAAAAAAAAAAAAAAATAATTAAAAAATTTCAAACTATATAGCATGTAGTGAGTAGTCGAAAAAGTCTTTTCGTATTTGGTCCATAGATGTCGTTATATCTTCAGTGCTAGAAATCACATTGTGTTATACCATAAATTGTTGGAAAGGTTAGATTTTAAATTTTAAAGAAATTAAATTTGGGGAAGTTGAAAAAAGTCACAGCTGTTCAAAAATGAGTGAAAATTATGAAGATATTCGCTATATTTAAAACTTTTTGCATAAAAAAGGAAAGAATGACCCACAATCCACCAATGAAATGTGTAAAGTTTACCAAGGCGATGCTGTATCAATTCATGTAGTACAACCATTTCAATGTGAAATACCTTATAGTTGAATAAGTCGATGAAATTATGGAAAAGATTGACCATGATAGTAATGTTATCGCTAAGAAACTGAGCACTCATCATCACATAGTTTTGAAGCATTTATAAAAGACTGTCTACAAAAAGAATCTCTAGGTATGGGTACCACATGAATTTGAAAAATCCTCTTAAGGAGATATACTGAAATGGTGAACTTTGAAAATATGAAAAAATCGATGTTTTTCAAGTACACCCCTAACAAACTCAAGAACCCAAGGTGTCATATTTCTATTCTAAACTCTTTATTTGTGTAATTTTCAAAATAATATCATCCCTTTGGTAGACGCTAATGCTCAAAGTTCTAATTTGTACAATTTTTTTTTTAATTTCGAAGAATCGACTTTTTCTAATCTTAGCTATGCAGTCTATAAAAATGTTGAGAAATAAATATCTGTACCATTAACTTTGAAATTCACTTCAGGATAGTGAGCAAAAACAGAAGACTTAAGCAACGAACTTGATCATTTTTTACTTATTTGTTGACTTTAAATATAGTGTGTTTTTAGTATTTTCTATATGAGAAAGCTTAAAATGAGCTAACGGAGATTTTAGTTGAAGACCTAGAATTATTATATATTGAAGTAATCCAACGTAATTAATAAAAAATTACACTTCCCACAAACTCTTTGTGCTTAACATTCGGTTAAAATTCAGTTAGAATTTTTAGCTATAACTATTAAAACACACTTACCTGTCATTTAAACCATAACTTTAAAATCTTTGAGGTTCTAAATACAAACACAAACACGTTCTTTCAATATTTTCACTAAATAATAAAATAGAAATGAAGTATTAAAGAATTGTAATAAGCCAATTTAATACTGTTTCTTAATTGTATAACAATTCATATTTTTGTATATTTACACTCTAACTACATGCATATAAAAACGATTAATTTCAAAGTATCTCCTCTATTGCGCAACATTAAACATGCGGCAAATGATCGCCCTGTGGTTGGAAACCGTTCTCATCGGCGATGTAATTTAACGTGTATGTCTGACCGTCCGGTGCCACCCAACTAACTGATCCGCGCACAGAAATGGCCTCCTGTTCGGTGCCGGCGTTCTTTAGTTCAGCCTCCTCCTGGCGCGACACACCATCACTAGTCTCATAGCTGTAAATTGGTAAATTACAATTTAATTTTTGTTTGATAATAATTTTTGTGCAGAAATAAAATTAAAGAGAAAATTTTTGAAAAAATAATAATATTTTCTGAACATATTTTTCTGGTGAAGGATAACTGAAAATACTAGGATTGAACACAACAATTAAAATTTTTGGTAATTTAATATATATTCAAGCACAAAACCCTTGAGTACCTGAAATATTTATATAAAATGTCTTCAAAGATTTAAAGTTACTTAAAAGTTACTTAAGTTAAAGTTATATGTATGTATCGGAATTTTAATTGTGACCAGTTATATATTTGAAGTATTAGTGATAAGAAATCCGAAAAAAGAATAAGTTATTTAATCAGCCAGAGCAACTTATTGTAGTGGAGCCTTTTTCCAAGCCAATAACCTCACAAAATTAAAAAATTTATATATCGATTAGATATATATTGAACCCTGAAAGTTTAAAAAGATTTATATTCGAAGTAGGCGTTTCTAAACTATAATCATTTTCTACAAAATGTCTTTTTGTAAATCTTCAAATCTTTCTATAATTTGCAAAATTTATAGTTTTCGGCATTTAATAATTGATCGAATATTACTTCAACGCTTATTTTATTAAATAGCTGACCAAATTTTACATTTTCTTATTTTATATATTAAAAAGTAATTACTTTAGTACACTTCATCGAATGTTTAATAAATTCAAACACATTTTATTCGATTCCTCTCTTTGTGTCGTAACCACAACATCTCACGCAAATATAACACTTTTGATTTCATTTTTTTTTTTTTTTCACGTACTCACCCGAATTTGTAACCATCAGCGACGTTCTCGTTATCATAGCGTAGAATCTGGGCAGCAGCTGGGTCATCGAGCGGCGCAGCACAGGCGAAGGCTATCAATCCACAGAGTGCCAGGATGCTCAATGTAAACCTCATTTTGATGAGAGATTTTATATATTTTACTTTCTGAGATAGTTCTTTTAATATTTCTTGAACTTCAGCTTTTTCTACCGCGCTTGTCGTTATCCCAATTACGTTTGCTAACTAATGCAGTGTAATTACCAAAGTCGGTCGCTATTTATACGCATGTCTTACAGAAAATCCAATAAAGTACAATAATGAGCATGGCTATACGCACTTGCTGAGAGTACCTACATACTTACATCCCCACATATGTATTTACCTATGAAAGTGCGAAGTATGCGCTGTGCGCTGTGCGTTACGCTCGTAGGCAAATAAAGTAAAAAGTAAACTAATAATAATTGCACCAACAACAATAGTTATAAAGCAATAAAAGAGCATGATGAGCTGCGTGTACTTCATTTGTACACCCAGGCACACCATATGCAACATATGGTAAAAGCATACTAGTGTATGTGTGCGTAAGTGCTTGTGAAGGTAAATACTAGGGAGATATCAATCAAACTTCGTTCGAATGAAACTGAATTGTTAGAGAGCGCATTGCAGCATCCATCAATAAAAATCGAAAAATGGCAATAATGGACTGCCAAAGACATTCAAAATAACCGCCTGCAAATCATTTTAGGCAAGCATGCGCGCGCATACATACACTTATATAATATTTCAGCGCAACTACGCGCAAGCGTACATGATAGCTGAAAAATGAGGCGCAAATTATGTAATTCAACGGATTATCTAGGTTTTGGAGATCGTCATTTCGATGTGCGCGATGTGCACAAAATATGCCCGTTGCGGTCATTAACCGCAAGACAGCATAAACCCATTAACAGCACCGACGTTTTGAACTTCACCACGCTGCTGATTAGCGTTTGACAATTGAGCTATGCCGATTTGCCTTGCCTTGTTTCTGTTATTGTTTTTGCTACTTTGCCAAAGCGCATCTAAGTGTTTCCATTCAATGTTACACCATACGCACATATACACACAAGCGTTTGTACTTTTAAGTAGGTGCTTGAATTGAGTTTCTGTGTTGTTGTTAATATGTGTGAAAGCAATTGATATTCAATGGTTGTTAAAAAATGTTTGGTGTAATTTAGGAGCTACTCGGTGCGTTTTGGCAATTGTGTGAAGTGACAAACACGTTGAATTTCAACTTTGTTAGACATTGAATGGTAATAGAAGTTGGACACACGTTGCTATATAAACAATAATAACTTCAGATATTTTAAAGGATTAACAGCGTTCCACATTCAGGTATTATCTAATCTTTAATGTAAAGTAAAAGCCCTATTATTAATTTTTCCCTGTACCTTTATATACACTGAAATCTCAAATAATCTTCTTTTGAAGATCATATCGGTCGTATTTTTCATTACTTTTGACATATGACCAATTAATAGATATTTTTTAAACTCTTACAATATGTTTCACAGATAATTATAGCTTTGTACTCATAATGGTTTTCTTAGTATAGAATTTAGATAACTTTATTCAATTTAGAAGTGTGATTTTCGCTGTTACTTGATTTACATGCGGAAATTGTCACTTTCCCTAAATTACTTTTTCAGCATAATAGCGAACTCTTATCTTTATAATAAAATTAAATTATTGGCCATCAAATTAAAATATATGACTTTTACTTCTTCTTGGAAACCACACGTCTGAAAAAGATATGGTTCAATTATATATATCATAAGTAGGTGTAAGTATTTCCTAGGGCATACTTTCTTGAAGCCAAACATGGATGGAATTGGTTTAGATCTTTCTCGATCTTAAACATTATCGTATTCTGGGTGCAAAAAATATTGAAAATTTTTCAGTATTTGAGATATTTTTTTGCGTATTTTTTAGTATACCCTTAACAGATTTAGCCATGTCCGTCTGTCCTCTATACTCACATATGCACATAAATAAAAGACAGGTTTAAAAGTTACTAATGTTAATCTTTGCATTCAACATATTTGTAACTTCCCACTTCGCGTGAAATTCCGAAGCTGCTGCTAAAGTATACTGACACATACAACAACAATTAAATGCCTACCTTTCTGGTGCTCCTCGTCATGCGGTATTAATTTCAATGATGTTTTTGTTAACCTCGAAAATCACGACAGTTTTGTCTGAGCCTTTATTAATTGATGTTCCTGAAGAAATACAGCAGCAATATACATACACATATACAAAAGTATGTGAAGTTTAGATGAAGATGAATAAATTAAGCGAGAATTAAGCATGGGTGCAATTCAAGAGTAGCTTAAAATTAATTAATTAAAAAGAAACAAAATTGAAGCAGTGAGTGGTAATAAAGAATTCCGCCCTTTTATTGTGGTAGTAGTTGTCATTGTACAAATATATATTTACAGTGTATTATGTAGTACTCACACTTGAACTCGCACCTTAAAAAAATGTACGAATGCTGTTGATGGCATAAAAGATTTGGTCGCATATTGCAGTCACCAAACTAAGAAACTATTTGCTTCCTTCTTGGCAATACGTTATGATAGATATGGGCAACAACAAAAACAAAATGCGTGTCTTAGCTAACTGAAGACGCCAACGCTTAAGAAGTTAACAGCTCAATTTGTTGGTGCACTCCTCTTAAGCATCAATTTCGGTTAGCTGTAATTTGTTGTTGTTGTGCTTTTGTTTTCTTACTAAAACGGCTGATCATAGCATGCTGATGACCTTAGTAAATGGCATATGAAGTGTTTAATCTGGTTGAAGAAAAATTTTAATGAACAGAAGATGAGATGTACTATATCATTGTTAACCGCAGAATTAAGCAAAATTGGGGGAAAAAATTGTAGATATTTACGAGCGATAGCTCGAGGCTTTTATCTTTTAGCGAACACTTCATAAACATTTCAATGAATATTGATTTCCTTAAGTATTTATATAAGCACGTATGCGCTAAATTGACCAATGAATTAACACCTCCGATGATGCTCAAGTACACTGCTGCTCAAACTGGAATGATTAAATGTTTTTAAAAGCAATTAAAACAAAAAAAGTGAATAACGGCTAGGTTCGGGTGCAACCGAATATATTATATCTTCAGGTGTTGCCTATGTTGGGAAAAAAAATAGCGAAAGGGTTCGAAAATCGTCCTCAATCGTTTTTATACGAACCAATTCAATACTCTCTGGGTTTCATTAAGGTACCTGCTGTTATAGTACGTTGTTAGTAAAACATTGAGATAACTCACATATTGCCCTAAATACCTTTACGCGGTATAAAGGCACCCTGAAGTTCGAAAAACCTCAAATAGGTATACTTCCCGTATTGATTCGATTCAGTTCATTTTTGGTATTCAGACATATTGTTATCATGAAAGATATCGCACATATTTACCGATATTTTTGGTAAAATGTCAACTGGGCACTGAGGTCCGCATATTAAATACTTAGGGAATTGAACAGTTTTGACATTACAACAGCAACAACAGCCAACTACCTTCTGAGATCGCAGAAAATTATTAGCTTGGCAGCATAAGTCTCCAATGACACACACAGCACAGCTGGATTGCAACAACAGCAAGGAGCGACACGCCAGTTGGTGTTGTTCAAAGTCATACAGGACTGGAAGGACACTATTCGAAAAAGGGAAAACTCGCTACATTAACTAGAGCTTTATTTGTATACTGGAATGTGGAAGGATCCGATATAAATTAAAATGGTGTTATAGGGGAAATAGATTGGTTGGTAAAGTGGAAGAGGCTTTATAGACAAAACTTTCTTGATTAAAATTAATTGTTATTGATTTATTTTACTTTTAGAATAATTTTTCAAGAAACCCGTTATATATTTGCCTTACCAATACGAGTATATCTCATTTGCTTGCAAACTACATTACTACGGTAAATTCTGTCAGAAAATTAAAAAAAAATACTCTAAAAGGGAACGTTAGGTCAAACAAAAAATAGCTTTTAAATTTTTATTAACTCATTGGCTTTTGTAGAATCTCTCAGTCACAGACAGTATATTGTTCATTTGACATACCTGGCAACACTCCATAAAGTTAAATGTATTTAACGCACTTTTCAGGCTCTTTGAGATCATTTCCACCGCTGTTAAGCTTGTCAGCGCTGCAGCCAGTAGTGGAAGCAACACTTTGGTTAGTAAATGCTTGCGGCTCTAATGGATACCGTAGGTATAATATACTGCAGGAGACTCGATCACAATAGGTGTTCAATGAATTTGACTAAAGCAAGTGCTGACCTTTAATTGTTTAAATTAGTTAATCAATTTGAACTTTATTATTCATTAATACCTTTATTTATACAATTTATTTAAGAGATGGTTGAAGGATTAGTTTTAATTTTTTTAACAACATAGTTGTTAAAAAGAGGTTATAATCTGATTGCAGATTTAAAATAAAATAGATATTATAAATAAGCATAAAGTGTCGTTCTGCATACATTTATTTAAATAAATTTGCATAAATCGTCTTTATATGGTATCAGTATACAATGCATCAATTTGTGTTAAAATAGTTTCTCAAACCCAAAATCAGCTGAGCACTTCATCATTTCAACTTCTGCAACAGCTTCAATATACCGCAAAGTGCATTATTCATTATCAACATTCCGTGTACACATCGCCCCTCTGCCATTGGAACATTAGTTCACAAATTTAAACAGCTATGGGCATTTGTTTATACTTTTGGTTGTTTATTATTTGATTGTCATATTACAGATGCATCAAGGTGAGTCAACTAATTGTTGTATACGTGCGCAAACATACATTAATTATATGTATGTATATATACCGAATATATAAATGTATGTGAAATAGGTAAACACATAAAGCAATAGAGTATATACTTGCTTTTATATGTATTAACACACCGGTTTTATATTCATTATTTCAGATATATTTCTCTCCTCAACCCTGCGCTCAAACATCAAAAAACTCTAAGAAATATGGACCAATATTTCCCTCTACCCATAGACAACACCAAACAGTTACTTGAGGGTTATCTTTCCTTCAAATTCAATAAACAAAATTTGCAAACGGAATTCTGGAGTAACTGAATATAAATCAAGTAACAGCTCTAAAAAGGTCAACTCCGAAAAAAGTATTGCCTCATTGTTTATCATACTTCTTAAAAAAAAACACCCTTTACTTATCGAACGACCTCAAATTACATTAGACTAAAATTTATTTAGAAAGAACTCGGAGCTGGAAGAGTTAAAAAGATGTATAAGTTAGAAGTTTTTTGAGCTTATAACTTTATTAAAAGCTTATGCATTTGTTTTGAACTAGTACAAAACTATCCTTAATAAAAATCGAGAAACTTATTGCTCGTAAGTCTAAAGTAAATTTTAAAACGTTTTATGTTTTTTCTGGTTATTTGTACTACTGTTTATTTCTTGCAAATTAATACCTTGCCGTCACACACATACGATGATATGCAGAATTTAAAACTAACAGCTCGAATTAACTTCTTTGTTATTTTTTCTGCCTGCGGTATCAACTGCTATAGTTTTAATGGTATTATTGACCTTAAGAAGCCATAAGAGTTCGCATTGATTAACAATATTGCATAACAAATTTATGTAAACAAATCCTAAACCGTTAATATGCTGTTGCGTGCATACTTTTCGATTATAGGAAACGCTTGTGCGAACATCTTCGCATTAGTTGGTGTATTTGTAGATTGGAGTGTTCTAAAATTAGCAAAGTAGCCTTAAGATTGTCTGACGTCAAAGATACAACTTCATTTATATATATCAATAACAAATAAAATAAACTATAACAGTTTTCAATGACTTGCGATAGTGTCGCCTGACTTATTTATTTTATGCTGTATGCCTGTTGCTAAATAAGTTGGCTAAGCAAAGGAGAATATATGGAAACATAAACTCAGTAACACTTCTTACTTTCATCAAATACAAAAATTATTTCGTTTATATATATATTAATCGCTCTTTTGATTTTTACAACAAATTAGTCAAACGCGTATAACGCACTAATCATCTTCTAATTAATCATTACACAATTACTACGAGGAATGTGTGTTAGTATGCCAATCGGAAATCATTAGCACGAGAGTAAAAGATAATTGTGCTGTGGCAGTAAATGAATGTGTTCGTAAACAAACTCGTTAATGCACATGCGCACACACACATGCATGCATATAAAATCGTGATCACGTTTAAGCGTTTACTTGTAATTCAGTAGATATTATAAAATCTGTTATGAAGTACTACGTGCACTAATATGTATATTTCTGAAAGCTTTAATTGGTTGGTGAAATATCAAATTTAATTTACTTTTGGCACATTCCGCTTGGCAGCAATGAATGCTATAACTATAGCTAATATGAAATATATGCGCTTAAAAGAGAAGTACGATTATCATCAGATCAAAATTGACTTCCCTGACATAAGATGACATTTTCTCACATATTAATACAAGTTATTATAATCACCCTGAAAATAGACTTCTAAGACAACACAAGAATGCCAGCGCACAATTCAATTTTCAATACATTTGTTAAAAGCCTCGGCAGACCTTCAGAGACTTCAATGAACTTTGGTCAGGACCGACATTTCTAATTTCTGTTTATTTTAACTTTTTAATGCAATAGTGATTAACAGAGATGGGTGGACGAAACACATGAGGCTAGACGATGACTTCACGACCTTCACTGTATACTTAGCGCCATATTTGATTGTCATATGTTCGTGATAAAGTAGACACCCCAAAGCTCTTCTGCAATGATTACTTAGCTTTGATTCATCATAAATCACTCTAAATGGACCAGCTCGGGTTAGATTTGCTCAGATGTATATGTGTATATAAAGTTCGATCTAATGGCATTGAGTTTAAAATGAAACATGCTTTCCTTACTCTCCAGGAGAATCTCTCCTACTGCATTTATTTGAATTAATTGTCGAATAAGATAACTTCAGCTGATTTTCTTCGCAAAGAAATTTATTTGCCACCATTATTTACTCTTGAGTGGGAGAAACATATGAATTTGAAATCTAAATAATTAAAGCCAGAGATGAGGAATACTTGTACTACCTTAGTAAGATATAATAATTTGTCTAATTTTGTTTCATTTGCGGATTTCAACAGTGTTAACGACAGCGCGCCAGTGGAGGTCTTTCTCTTCCTCTGCTTCCCCCGGCGAGTACTGTGTCGAATACTACTTCTTGATCATAGTTCTTTAGACTTTTCTTAAAAAAATAGTCCACAGTCTTTTTCAACGCCTAAAAAGACTAAATAACTACCAACCAGACATATGAACATTCACCCATTTTGCCTTGAAGATTGAATTATATATTAGATTGGGACAATCGATTCAATTTTTATTTCAACAAATTTAGTTATCAAACAATAAAAGGGCACAATTAGGCGCATTCACAATATTAATATATCTTTTGTCAACATTTTTCCGCACAAATGTAACCTAAAAAAAATCTATGGCGTCAAAATAAAATTTCTTACGATGTATTTTTCCGTTGGACTTCATACGTAGTGCCTGTATCAGAACGACATAAGATGGCTAGTAAAATTTAGTATTTACCTTCAACTTTCATTTTCGTCATTGCTTGCTGCTCTTGCAGGCTTATTTTTATCATCGCTGGTCCTCGGTGACTTTTTTATTGTCTCGCTTTTGGTGAGCTGAACGCATTCGCACAGCAGCCGGCACAACGGCATCTGAGCCAACCTACACACCGCAAAACAATAAACATCAAAATCACCTTGTGTCACAGCAGCTCCGCTAGCCAAGAAACCGCGGCGGTGACAGCAACAACAATCCAACTGTTAATTCGTGTGTGATTTGCTTTTGATCGACTTTAAAACAAACGTTACTCGGCCTGATGCTAAATTAGTTTGGATCTAAATTTCAATTGCGGCTAGCGTTTTAATGTATAGGATTAGCAGCCCGAAGCCGTAAGATTGTTGTTATTGTCGTTTATTTGATTTCATGTTATTACTGTTGCTTTTTTGGCTTTTTATTAGATGCTCTTATTTGCGTATTTTATTGTACACGTCTACAAATTGTCGGCTATTTTGGGACAAAAGTTAGAAAACTTCTTTCTTCTCCCATGAGTCGTGTGTGTTTCATGAGTGGCTACATTGTTTGTGTATTACCATTTAGTAGTATATAAAGCTATTGCGCAGCGCATTTGGTTGCGCAGTTGTCGGCTTTGAACAGTCCCGAAAAAACGTTTGCACCGATTTCGAGTACTGGCAGACAGGTCGACAGACCGGCCGAAATCACAAGATCAAGAGTTAAGGCGAGACGACCCGACCAACCAACAACTGTACAGCCGAATTGTAGGAGCGTAAAAGACAAAAGACTTAAGCGACAAACTTAGTTTAAAAGTCATAAATCAAAGCTTGAGCCCAATTAACGCTAGTCGTGTACTATTATCAGGCGTGCGCTTACCGTGAAATGATACGCTTTGGTGTGCTGTTGGTGCTGCTGTGCGCTGGCGCATACCTGATCAACGCCAGCCCTGTGCCAGATTCCACACCCGCCACAACTACGACAACAGCCACAACGACAACACACAGCGATGACGATGTGCAGATTATTAACTATTCCAATGATAATGAAGGCGCCAATGGCTATAACTTTGCGTATGTATTTGATAAATTATATTTTAAACGCTTGATTAACTATATATTATACTTTTTCAACTCATTGCCACCAACTCACCACATCTTACGCACTCTCTCTCACTCTCTCTCTCACACACTATTCTTGGTACACCACAAACAGCTTTGAGACCAGTGATGGCGTGACGCGCAAGGAAACGGCCACGGTGAAACATGCTGGCGCGATATCGGTCGAGGGCACAGTCAGCTGGACGGGCCCGGATGGTGTGCAATATACACTCAATTATGTCGCCAATGAGCATGGCTTCCAGGCACAAGGCACACATCTGCCCGTGGGCCCGGAGCCAGCGTCATAAGAGTTTATCTTTTTTAGGTTATGAGCGTCTATAACTAGATTCGGCAGCAGAATATGGTTTTATTAGTTGTATTAGTTGTACGTGTATTGTGATGTTAAATTTTAGTTCAATTGTAAATATTTTCTAAGCAAATGAAGCAATTTACGTGTAGTGTACGAATTATGTGGATAGGCTAGTCGTTGTTGATACTGTTAATAAATAGCGCTGCATTGAAGTAAAGTATTTTATTGAATTCTGTACAATCACATCGGGCTCAACCTTCTTAGCTTAACTCTTTAGCATGTGTGTCATTCGTTTCAGTAATAGCGGATTAACTTCATTTAGATTTTAATTCGCCCATTACTTTTATGCGCATGCGTCATACTCCATTGAATGTATTTTAAGATTCAAGTTTATAATATTGCCTTCATGCAAGTTTGTTTACTTTTGTAGAATATAATTGTAGAACTCCGAAGCTCACAAGCATGCGATCGTTATAAATTAAAAAACAATATATAAACGAAAATCGAACAATAATTACTAAAATTAAAAAAAACGATTTATTCAATAATTATCTGTTCAGATGTTTTTGGTGACTAGGAAAAATAGAAACTGAAATGGCAACTCTCGAAATATATCGTGCCAATTTTACTCGCCTGAAAGCAAATATATTCCACTTATAAGTAATACTATAAATAATTAAACAGGTTGATGAGTGCAATTCTGGAGGTATGTCCGTCTGTTTGTGCACTCCATGAGGATTACAATGGCCGCGGTACCGGCCGTCTGCAAGTGAAGTTCTATACCTTAGAAGCTGCTCGACCAATTTAAAATTTTTCACTTTGGTGCATAATAATTATTTAAAAACACGAAGAAACGTTAACTTCGGATGCATCGGAGCTAATATACCCTTCACAGGTGTATTTATTTTAATAATTATGTGTTCTGTTTATATGAAAGCTATATGCTATAGTAATCCGAACTGAATAATTTTTACGGAGATTATATTATTATTATATACGTCAAATGCGAAAGTTTTCCATACAAACCCTTGATTCCGATCGTTCGGTTTGTGTGGCAGCTATATTGTTAGTAAGCCGATCTGAACAATTTCTTCGGAGATTACATTGTTGCCTTAGGAAATAATCTGTGCCAAATTTCGTGAATATATCCTGTCAAATGCAAAAGTTTTCCATACAAGAATATTTTTCCAATCATTCAGTTTGTATGGCAGCTACATATGTATATGCTATAGTAAGCCGATCTGTACAATTTTTTCGGAGATTGCATTGTTACACTAGAAAATAACCTATGCCAACTTTGGTGAATATACCACCTCCAATGTGAAAGCTTTCCATACAAGAACTTGATTCCGATCGTTCAGTTTGTGTTATGTATATATTATAGTGGTCTGATATCGGCTGTTCTGACAAATGAGCAGCTTCTTGAAGAGAAAATGATATTTGAAAAATTTCAAAACGATATCTTAAAACCTGAGGGACTAATTTGTATATATACAGACAGACAGACAGACGGACATGGCTAGATCGACTCAGCTCAGCATACTGATCATTTAGATATATACTTTATAGGGTATCTGACGCTTCCTTCTGGGTTTTACAAGCTTCGTGACAAACTTAATATACCCTGTTCAGGGTATAATAAGGTCCCAAATAGCGAATGAGCTCTACATATTACTCACTTTTTACTGCAAATAAGATGTATTATTTTAATCAGAGATAATCTTCTCTAAAAAGAAGTACCTCCATGTGCTTAAAATTGATAACGTGGGGTTACTAACCCCTAGTTTCCATATAGAAGTACCAAATATAACAATGCCCTTAAAAACATATACTATCCGACCCGATCATTTTTTAGAATTTCATGACAACAATGATCTTGAATATTAACCGGACATTATTTATGGACATAGGTCATTTGTTAGCACCCGTGACATTCACTTTGTAATACAGAGAGACTCGTTTCCTAATAGTTATACGTCTGTGCATTACAAATGGATTGAATGGGGCCAATACTACCCGTTGTCTATATTAAATAGCTCCGATTTAAAGATTTTCAAACTTTCGGGTGACTTTATACCGCATAAATTGGCCAATATGTGAGTTATCTTAATGAAATTTAGAGAACGTGTTTTTCTCATAACATGGCATATGTGGGCTCAGAAATAAAAAATCGGGTGCAAACTCTCCCTAGACCCCATAGGAAAACAAGTCGTATGAACCTGAATTTCAAATCAGCTTTTTTACTGGGTTCATCCACTAGACCTTATTAAATGCTTGCTTGGCGTGGCAGCACAACCGTCAGATTTTTTTTAATACACGAAATTCTATCCATTTTTATCTTATCCAACATATCATAAATTTTTCAAAACGTTCGTATATGGTTTATAATAGTTTTCTTTTGGAGAGAGTATTTAACTTAAGGTCACTATCATAGAAACCTTTCTGCACGCCTGCTACCATTGAATCAGCCATTAAAATAACTGTAGTAAATATAGCAAAAATCAAAATGCGGATTACAAACTTACCCGAACGTAACGACCCACGTAAAAGCACTTATAAATCGGAAAGTATGTATATGCAATAGCGTGATTAGCACACACCTTCATACAAATATATACAAACAAAGCACAAAGGAAATGAATAAATATTTACATACAAGTAAATTTTGACATTATGGGCTTGATCATGCAAATTTGAACTTCCACGCACACACATACATACAAACATTCAATCAAAAATAAATATTCACATAGATATATATGTGCCTATATTGTGTTCGCTTGATAGAAGTAGGTTAGCGTGCAATGGGACGCTGCTGTTGTGACTATCGCCGGCGGCCTGCCTGAATGACTAACTGACTGACGCCTCAAGATTAGTGCCGCAAAGTAGCAAACGAAAACATAAACAAATAAACTAAACTAAACGAAACAAAACTTTATATTCGACCAATTGTGCTGAGCCAGTCAGCAGGCTCAGTGACCGTCGGCTGCCGTTGAGGTTGCCGATGGTGCTGATGATGTGGATGATGCTGCTGCTGCCCAACCTATTTGACCGCTACAAATACGCAAATTCACTTCGCACATTTGCCAACGTTTGCCTCCGTATGGCTGGCTATGTAGGTTTGCGTTCAATCACTCATCAAGTGCAAACAATAATTTGGCCTTTTGACATCTGGCAAATAAATATATAAAGGCATGTGAATGTATGTATGTGTATGCATGTGTAGCAGCATTACATGATTTTGATGATCTATGTATAATATGTATGTATTGTCGGTTAATGTGTGTGCCGCGACCGTCACACTTTCGATGATGCATTTGAGTATTTCAAAGTTGAGATAGTGGTGCTAGGCTACACCGACGGCAAGATTATGGCAATAATTCTTTTCGTAAACAATATTTTCTTTTTTACGTTTTAGTAAGGGTATGGTTGACATTTAGATAAAGAGTTAAATGGTGACAAGAATTTGGTCATCTTATTACAACAGTAGACACATTCAAATTTAGGTGCGGAATTAAGATCAAGCTGTTTATTTAAAACATAATAAACTTAACACATATGACATATGAAAAATAAACTGCATTTCCACATTAGAGTCTCCGTTTATATGATGACGATTTCGATATTAACCACCGTCTGTATGAAACGTTGCTCGATAAGTCATCCTCCGATCCTTTTCAAAGAGGCTACAAGAGCTGGAAATGATTCAGGAACAAAGAACTTGGGTTCCTTATGACCTCAATACCAGGAAAAGCACGAAAAAGTAATTCTGCTGCATGGCAACGCTCGGGTTCACGTTGCTTAAGGGATTAGAATTTTCAAAGCTCTTTCACCTCACTGTATGAAATATCTTCAAAACGTATATTCTAAACGCATCAACTGGCCCTTCAGGTGTCGAAAAACGTTGTCCTCTTCATTTACCTTTTACGTACTGAAACAAAAAGAAGTCATTCTCGTTCACACTCGATGAACACTAGCCCTTGATGGAGCTTCATCGCCAAAAGTTTAATTAAGTTCATCGATGCACCATTACTGACTGAATCTACGTCGAAAGTTGTCAAAAATAATCGCTCGGAAATGTTTGCAATTTTATTTCATTTTTTGACCGAGATCCATATTTCAAGTTACCGTAAGCAACATCAAAAATGTCAGACTTTACGATAAACTTATGATTTGCCAGATTGAAACATTAGAGTTGTCAAATCCCGAAATATAAAATGCCACCTTCGAGTTTTGCAACAAAGATAGGAAAAAGTTGTCACAAGAGCTAGGCTTCACTTCGAATAATTCATTCGTACCCATTTGCTCACAATAAAATTGAGTTCTCATTACAAAAAAGCGAGAACTTAGTCGCATGTCTTATACGTAAGGAGCAAGATATTCTGATCTTCAGGAAAATATCAATTTTATAGACCAAAAAACAAACATGCATTTACTAAAATATGAGTGATAAAATTCTACTAAAACTAAGGCAATTTAAATATTCTATATATATAAAAAAATACTAAAAATTAATCAATCCGGAAAATTTAAAATGTGACCCACGAAAAATTTAGGTAATGTGAAAAATTTGCATACGAAACTTCAACGAAATGCAGAAGAGGATGGACTAAAGAAATGCCAACCATTTCTTACACATATGAGACAGCAAAGATTCGGTCAGAGCGTGTAGTCCCAAGTGTCGTGCAGCCACAACGTGCTTTAGTACACTTATACCAACAATTGGTTTTTGTTTTGCTTAAGAAACAGGAAAACAAGTTTTCGACATTTTTTCTACATTTCAATAAATTCGCGTGAATGTTCCTGCTGCTGCGGCCGCCGCTGTTGAAAATTGCAAAATTCACACACACCTCAAAGAGCAGCAACAACACACGATTGCATCTTCTTTGCGACTCTTTAAGCAGTGGCATGCGCTGGGTGCTACACACATACCTGCACGTGTCTGTATGGATGTTTATATTTATGTAAGTACGTGCATATATTTTTACAATTAGCTGTAAGTATTGTCAGTTTGCTTGTTGACGCTTCGTCTGTATTGCCAGCGTATCAAGTATCGAGTTGTCATCCATTACGAATAGGAGTACTTACAGTTATGAGTATTTCGCCGGGCTTTAAAACGTGCACACGCGACGAGTATAAAATGTCTGTAATAAAAGGCTGTGGCAAGCATTAATTGTTCAGTACTTCGACGAGTCACAACTAACCGAGTGGCCAGTCCCACCAACAAACAAACCATCCATCCAGCATCCCAACTACACAAAACATCATTGGCCTAACCTTTACGGAAAAAAGGAATCCGCTACGTCGCCAACTAAAACGTTACTTAGCCCGTGATAAAAGCGTGTGGTTGTGTGAAGTAAGAAGCAGCAGCTTGAAACCGTGTCCCATTTACACCAAGAAGATTGCGTAATCTCTCGTTAAAATGAAGTTTGTTATTGTATTTGTTGCTGC